CCCGTCTCGCCGACGACGACACACAACTGATGCTCACGTTTCAGATGACACACATCGGCGGTGTTGTGTCCCTCATCTACGGAGTGCTCCTCCACTCGGGTGCGCCTCAAAGGGCTGACGGCGATCGGCCCCCACTCGCCGCCGAGCATACCCTGGATCTGACTCTGGAAGTGATCAGACTTTTGAATTATGTGTCGCTATTGGATCTGAATGTGGTTCAGGTATGTGTGGCTGTGCTGTCCTATCAGTCCATTTGGTCCAACAATTGTGTATAATTTGCTAATTATTTTATTTTGTGTTTTTGTAGTCTGTTTTGGGCGGCGAAGGGCTGTCACTACAGCTCCGGCACATCTGTTCATACCTTCTCTGGTATTGCACTCACCATAAGAAGGAAGCGCTGCTCAACGAAGCGATTCTATTGGTCGGCAACTTTGTTGTCCTCAACGACGAGAATCAGGTACTGGTCTCCCGACACAACTGTCCATTTCATTGGTCACTAAACTTACTGTGCTTTTGATTACAGGCGCTGTTAGAGTCGGGCCAACGGCCGACTGTCGTCCAGCAGTTGTGTTCGCTGCCCATCGAGTACTTCAGCGACGATCGACTGTCTCGGGTGTTGTTCCCGACGCTAATCGCCTGTTGTTTTCAAAACCCGCAAAACCGGACGGTTTTGGAGAAAGAGATGTCAACTCTAATGCTCTCGACGTTCATCGAGTCCACGATCGTTGGCCTTCAGCTCCGGGCCGTCGACAGTCACGTGTCGGCCAACTCTCTCGGTATGGCTTTTGTAGTGTTTTTCGCACTTTTAATGTGTTTTGTGTTTTACAGCCGAACAGCGCCTGACGTTTGCGAAGAGGTTTCCGAAGAACCGCTGGAATGAAGCGAAGGACTACTTCGAGGCCCAGACAGAGGCCGACCCATAGGTGTCGGTGCCGTACAGACCGTACAGACTGTTGGTTTGGCCGCTGTTTTACAGCTACCGGTGCTTAAGAAAGTCATTTCTATTTCTATTACAGTCTAAGAGATTACGTGTAAATACTATACTATTGTGCACTCAATTAACATAGATTTTATACATTAATATATTATTTAATTAAAACATTATAACTGTATTTCTAATATTTATAATCTAATTAATTGATTAAAAGGTTTAGTTGTATTATTAATGACCGCATTTGCCAAACATTGGGCGGCAATAGAATTAATATAACAGTCGATGTATTAAAATAACTAAAAGTGAAAAACATTTATAATTTATAAATTTATAGTTCTAACTAAAGTGAGATTTATTTTTACAAATATTTAATTGAATAAATGATTGGTTTTTGTATTGAATTAATGTTTAATTAAAATTAATGTAATTTTTCATTCAATTTATAATAAAATACTTGTTTTATATTTGAATGATTGCTAATCGGATGACCGAAACACTCAGGGATGGCATGTATTGTGAAATACTGTTTAAACTATAATTATTGATTATAGGTAATAATAACTTATTATGATATATTGAAATACTTTAGTTATCAAATCCTTGTCTCCAATAGTTTTTACTGATTATAGCAATCAAACCATTTATTTCTTTGTTATAAATTATAATATATTTAATTTGTTTTGTAATTGTATTTAAATATTTGTTAAAATGTGTGAATTTATAGAGAAGTTTACAGTTTGTCATAAAATCCCAATAAAAATTAGACAGAATATTATAAAACTACAAGTTTTTAGTAATTCGTATAAAGGATATAATGTATTATTTGTTACAAATGACGATATGGTCTATGGTTTGGGGGATAATAGTGATGGAAGACTGGGTTTTGGACACAACAGTCCTATACTATCACCAGAAATAATAACACAATTATGTCAACAAAACATACAATACTTTAGAAATGGATATGAATTTGTGTTAGCAGTGAATGATATGAATAGGATATATGGATTTGGGAGAAATGATCATGGTCAATTGGCACGGAATGTAATAACTAATAATGAAATACAAACTCTTTATTATAAACCAGAGATTATATCATATTTTAATAATAAAAACATCGAACAAATCAGTTGTGGTTCTCAACACACTCTGGCCCTCACAAGTGATGGTCGGGTCTATGCCTGGGGTTGGAATAGTTGGGGACAAATTGGTTGTGGAAATTGTGATACTATTTATACACCGATTGAAATACAATTCAATAATAATTATAAAATACAATCCATTTATTGTTGGTATTACTCTTCATTTGCCATCACATCTGATGGACATGTCTTCAATTGGGGCGACAATAGAGACCATGAATTGGGACACAATATAACCAATAAAAGAGTATTAAAACCCCGATTCATATCAAACGTAAATAATATGAAAACAATTAGTTGTCGTTCTTTTGGGACATATTTTCTGACAACAAATGGTTTATATTTTTGTGGAAAATGTTATGAAAACAATAAACAAATGTTTGCAAAAAGTCCGAAACGAATACTATCTGAACATCACTTCCAAGAATTGGGGCAAATTAATTCATATAATCATTTATTATTAATTAGTGTTTTAATAATCGATAAAATATATCTAATATCAAGAGAACGAAAAATAATTGAAACAAATTGTAATAATTTTATTGACTTTTACGCCAATAAATTACAAATAACTTATAATACAATTAATTTGAAAAAAATGAGTGATAAGTCAAGTAATGGTAAGAATGAAACCAAAGCCAAACCAATACAACTGATGGCCAGTCATAGCAAAAGTACAATAGACTGGAAACCAATTAATAGTAATTTTAGACCACTTTTGTTATAATTTATAAATTTATAATAATTTAATTTCTATTAGTTATCGATAAACAGACAGTCTCTACAAAGTGTGAAACAAATAAACCAAAACAACAATCGAGTCCTGTGATAGAGGTCAATAAAAATGGTCAACATTACCACCATGGTACGTTATTTTAACACTTAAATTACATTATATTAAAATTCATTTTACAGAAAATGTAAAGCATATATCAGACAAAACAGACAATAAAATTGATATTAATATCAATGATAATTCAAATGATGGTAAAAATAAAACAAGTTTCGCAAAAATTATACAACAATTTGATGGAAATAGCAATACAAGTTCAGAGCAAACATCTAGTAATTTGAGTGCATTTTAAACACAATTTAAAATTAATGATTGTTTTGTTATTTTGTTGTGAAGACAAACGACAGACAGGTTTTACAAAACCTATCAACATTATACATTCAAAACAACCATCACTTTAGTCGACACTCATTTTAGCGGACACTAGCAATTGCAAGCATGACCAGGGTGATTTAATTAATATACCCATCGCCAGTAATACCAAAGGTATAACAGCCCTGATCTCAAGTGATGGTAATTTTAATTACATTATGTTTAATTACAATAAGTTTATAAATATTGTATTTATGTTATAAATAGATAAACAGACAATTTCTACTAAACGTGAAACTATTGAAACACAACAGCAACAGTCGGGTTCCTCCATAAGCATCAATGATATTTCAGAACATTGTAATGAACAAGGTAGTTCACTATTCAAACTTCAAATATTTAATGTTGTTAAAATTTATTTGACAGATGACTACAATTCAAGTGATGGTAATTTCAAAATACAATTCATTGAGATGTCAGCCATAGGTTCGGGTGGTTTTGGGACTGTATTTAAAGTAAAGCATAGATTGGATGATAAGATATATGCCGTTAAAAGAGTACAATTTGGGGGTAAATGCAGTAAATATTTGTTTTTAAATTTATTCATAAAATATTTTCTTAGATTTTAGTAAAGAAAAGAAACAAAAAGTTTTGAAAGAAGTGAAAAGTTTGGCAAAACTGGACTCAGATTTTGTGGTCAAGTATTACAACTCATGGCTTGAATCCAATCATCTCTTCATTCAAATGGAGTTCTGTTCACAAAATCTTAAATCTCTTCTCGAAGTGAAAGCCATTGTCTTCGAGAGACAACCGGAAGAAGAGATGAAAGCCTTTGAATATTTTATTTGTTGTGAAATTCTTAAAGAACTCTTAGAATGTGTTGAATATCTTCACTCATGGGATCCACCGGTCATTCATCGGGATCTCAAACCCGACAACATATTAATTGAACACAACGTTAGGTATAATCGGTTCGTCAAAGTGTGTGACTTTGGTTTGGCCACCGATCACGTGATGCCATCCATGAGCCATACGGAAGATGTGGGTACTTCACAATATTATTGTTTTAAAGTTATCCATACAATGATTAGATTGGAAATAATCTTAGTTTTATTATTTAAGCTAATATTTATACTTGAATTGATATTCAACTATACTTTAAATATTATATCCCAAACCTTATGGAGATTAGAGTTTCAATAATTAATAAATAAATTAATTTAATTTTCATTAGTTTTTATAATATTTTTGCAATACTTTCTATGGATTCTAGGGTTGGAGAGATTGAAGAGTTTGTGATTTAACTGTTATACAGATTGTGCCAAAACAAGGCCCTCATTACACGTCAACAGACATAACAATAATTAAAACCACAACTTTTGCCTTTCAGTTAGTTTTTAGTAAACTATTTATTACTATTTATAAACTATTTATTTCGTTGAATTTCTATGTTTTAAATTATAATATAATTAATATTTTTGTAATTATGTTTTGTAATTGTATTTAAATATTTGTTAAAATGTGTGAATTAATCGACAAATTTAAATATTGTGATAAAATCCCGATAAATATTAAACAAAATATTACAAAAATACATGTTTTTCGTCATTCGACTTTTGAATATAATGTGTTGTTTGTGACAAACGATGATATGGTCTATGGTTTGGGTCATAATAGTAATGGATGTCTGGGTTTTGGACACAACAGTCCTATACTATCACCAGAAATAATACCACAATTATGTCATAAAACATACAACACTTTGTTTTATGATAAGTCTGTGCTATATATCATTGCAATATATCATTGCTATATATCATTGTATCTATACAATATGTACTATTGTTAATGTATTTATAAATATACATTTGATTATAATATTTATTTATGCTATTTATGTTATTATATTATATATGCTTTATATATTATATTGTATATGCTTTTGTGTTTAACAACTTAAATGACATGCTCTAATATACTCTACATTAAAAACCTAGTTACTATCTTTAATACAATATCAGTAAATAGAAATCATAATAGACCAGTTAATTATAATACTGTACATATTATTTTAATAGAATACAAATAATGATAAAATCAATAATTAATTTACTTAACAATGACAACAGTTATACATTATATTAATATCATTATTGTTTACAAATACTTGTTTAAAATGTTCACATGGTACAACTCAGCAAAAAGAATAACCAAATTGCAATACTTTAAAACTGTGATATTACTTTGTAAATAAAGTAAACCCATTGAGTATACAATTATAAAATTTGAATTTATGAAAAAGATTTACTAAATTGAAAATGTCAATCATAAATATAATAACGGATGTTGTTTTTAAAACCTTGTGTTTGTGTGGATTTCTATACCAAACGTGTGAAATAAGTTTCATATACTTCTCATACGAAACCACAACAAACGTAAGGCTCGAATCAGACTCATTGTTTAGTCCGGGTGTGACGGTATGTGTAAACACCAAGAGCATAATAAAGCCAAATCTAGCTAGGTTATTTACTTCATCTAAAAATCCAAACGAATTTTATTATAAAATATTCAAAAACCAAACGGTGGCCAAACAATTGGCATCAATCATACCATACAATCGTCTATTTAAGTGCATTTATTTCAAATCAAATGATAGGCCCGAGCGGTGCGACCACATCAGCCCCTATCGTATATCAATTAATAATATAAATAACCTTATTTGTTTTACAATATTTTCGCGATGGTCCGCTGAACCACAAAACAAGTATATGGTTAACAAAAATCAGTTTTTAACAAGACCATTTATGATATTAGAGTTTACCAATAAAACCCTGATATCCCGGAACCAATTCATTGTACGTCTTCACAACCCAATGGAAAGGGTTAGGGATTTATATAAGAAAAATGTCATAATTGCCGACACAAGCCATAGTAGTGAGTGTTATGTAAAATATCGCATAACCACCATGATTGACAAAAGCCAATCATATCTTAATAATAAATGTTTTGTGAATCAGGATCGAGATGATTGTGTGATAGAGTGCACAATTAGAAGAGCGTATATGGTAAATTCCAATTTCCCATCTCGGTTCATGATATATCCTAATGACTACAAAAACCACACTTTGGCTTATTCTGTGGTTTACAGATCGAAAGATTTACATCACATTAAAACTGATTGCAAACGCGAATGCAGTGATCGAATAGAGTGTATAAAACATTACTATTCCGTTGATTATAAATATGATATTAATATACATTCAAGTTATTCATTAAACATATTCTTACCGTCAGAGCCCGATATTGTGTACACAATGTCACTGAAAATGTCATTTGAAGAGTATCTGGTGTTTATCGGATCAGTTCTGGGCCTATGGTTTGGTGTATCGGTCCTTATGTTCACTAATCTATTCACACAATTATTTATTAAATATAAACGTTATATTTATAATAAATGGCAAACAAATAATACAATGCTATTCACGGTAACTAATATGAATGTTAATTTTACTCCTAACCGACCTCGAGTTGCCAGTGCTTTCACTTAATATTTAATTATAATTGAAATATTGAACTATTTTACAACAAAATTTGACGACCCTTCCTCCAATGTTATATACTGTGTAAATAAGTAGTGTTTTTAATTGTAATGATGTTTAAAGCTATTTTACCTCGTATTGTAAATATATAAATAGTGTGAACAGCGGTAGCGACTGATTCTGTGCGCTCCGTAGCCTCAGGTGTCGATAGCCCTGTCGTAAGCAATTCAATGGTATGACTCGCTGTGCCGTCAAGTGATTTGTGCCCAAATCGGTGACCGAAAAGCGCAGGAATGCTAAGTCATTGAATGTTAACTAAATTAGTTGATTTGTATTCATTACAAATGATCAAGATGTTTATTACATTGCATAATCATGGTTAATATGATGTACAAGTTATAACTTTAAATAAACTTTATTAATGTAAGTTTAATTTATTGTCTTAATGTTGAATTAAATCTAAAAATTATTTTAAAATAATTAAATTATGTTTATAAACGTATCATTCCAGATGGGATTCAACGAGCTGCAGCATCATGGTCTTTTTATTGACGTCAGTCAATCTGTATACCGATAACCTCCACCTCTACCTGCGGTCTCCCGGTGTTTGTATTTTGGCACACGTACTGACCCGATATAATCTACATAAAAACAATTAATAAAAATAGTTATTTATTTAGTAAATATGAGCAATAAAAATGTCGCTTATATAGGGTGGCTGGAAATTTAGCCTAAAGATTCAGAACGACCTAGATTCCCTAAATTTCACTATTAACATCCCTATTTATACAAGATATTATCCGGGCTTTATGTGATTCTGATTCAGAATTTCTGAATATTTTGACATTGATTTTTAACATTTATCTAGTTAATTTTAATTGGGAAGTTTTTATTTCACAACAAGCCCGCATAATATCCTATTAGATTTTATTATATCATTTATAAATGTGGGTGATAAATTATGCAACTTATTCCAAAGTACAATATTGGAAAAACGTCGAACTACACTAGATATGCAACTTATTTTTCCTGTTAGAGGGATTTCACGGGAAATCCCTGTTCCCTGTAAAAGGAAAATACAGGGCAGGAAAATTAGAATCAATAAACAGGGCAGGGACAGGGAATCCCTCTAACTCTTATAAGGATTCCCTGTAACATAATTTCCCTGTTATACAGAAAGTGAGTGCTTAATGTGTCAATAGTTGTGAATGAATTTTGTGTTGTAAATAGATTGTAATGTAATTATATTGCTATAATATAGATATATTTTAAGTCTATTTAATTGAAATAATGAAATATAATAAATAAATGAGCGTTTTTAGAAGATTCAGGGCAAGGATTCCCTGTAAGCAAAAATCACAGAGAACAGGGCAGGGTAGGGCAGGGTAGGGCAGGGTAGGGCAGGGAAATAAAAATTGGAAAAAGTTGCATATCTAAACCATACTATCAGAGCATATAATTAATAGTAAACAAATTGGTTCACACACTACAGACTTTTGCATGAAAAATGAGTATAATAGGGGCTACTTTATAATTTAATTGTAGCGCTATTATTAAACGTATTTTACTGATTCATACATCAAATTAAAGATCAGAAAATACGGTTTTAAAGGATATATCACACGATATATTTCAAAATTTGGAAACAAGTTTTTGGTGTCAAACAACGGTTATCAAACTAAATGTAGATATATTTGCTGGTAAAGGTCTATAATTTTCTCCGTATAAAATTAATTTTAATTTAATAAGGGTTTTGATAACTTATTCTTATGTAGGATTTAACGCTAAAAACAACTATAACATTTAAAAAATTCTAGCTTAAATACTTTTAGAAATATATGGCCACAAAATCACCAGAAAAACAAATATTTTGCTTATGTTTGAATGTCCCTATGCTATTATAAGCTTATATACACTGACCCAGAGTATCCAAAACAAGCGCCCACCGTGTTTTACATTTAATTGTGGCCAACTGGGGCAAAATTAAATATTGGTTATATTTTTATCTTATAGTAAATGTTTAGTGTAATTAATCATTTCATTTTTACAATAAAATAGTATGTGGTTTTAAAATTATAATTTTTTTTCTATACTCATTTTTCATGCAAAAGTCTGTAGTCACTTGATTAATTAATGTCCATATGGTGTTATTTAATAAACGTTATAACCGCCATTAACACGACCACAGCAATAGTTACAATGAATAAGTTGACAATAATGTTGAGCGCGATGGTTCTATTATCATTGATGCCTGGTCACTTTGCAATGCCACAAGTGCAACTCACTGACGCCGAGTACGAAGACAAGAGAGCGAAACTTTGTACAAATCAAAGTGAGTGTGATTACGGTTCGTGCTATATTCAACTTGACCATAACAATTGGACCGCAAAATGTTCTTATAATGCCTTCGGATGACAACCCCATCATAGCCTACAAAACAAAGTCCAAGAATTTTAATAATATTTGCTTGTTGCAAAATATTTATTTAATAAATATCAATGTTAATTTGTCTTTTTAATTATTCGTATTAAGAATACTTGTAATTATTAATATTCTAAAATAAATAAACATTTAAATTGATTATTATTGTCATCTGTTTTGTACTAATTATCTTTAATCATAAGAATCGGAATATTTGAAGGTGTGTTCGGTGGCCAAGAGGTCGGCGGCAATGTATGGCCAGTGAGGGTTGTTTAGTAACGCCCGACCGATCAGTACGAGTGTCGCCGATGGCCAGTCATAGCAAAAGTTTCATAAATTGTAAACCAATTTCTGGTAATTTTAATTGTCTTTTATTATAAATAATTAGTAATTATTTATTAATTTCCGTTAGTTATTGAAATGGGCTACAGTGGCGGCCAAACCAGTGGCCACTCAACCGGTTTCACCGCCAAAGAGCGGCTCCTTTGCTAACAATGCCGGGAGTCTTAAGCGCACAGTTGTCTCGACACCCGATTTGTCTTTCATTAATAATAATAATAAAACTAATAATCAATTATCAATCATACCGACCGATACTATATAACTGTTGGCATAAAGTTAACCATTAATTGTCTTATAACTGATTCAGTGATCTGTTTTACACAATACCTGATCACGTCTTGAATGATGTGATTGAAGGCCAGACTATCGTCGGTACTGTCGGTGAGCGTCGAGTAGTGGCCGTGAAGTGTGTCAAAAATGGTGGACAGGAGTCGACACAGGGCTCCGACCACTATATCGCATGTCTGGGTAGCGGTTCCGCCACCACTGCTACTCATGAGAGTCGTGTCCAATAGCTATAACGGAAAACAATAAGTAAAAAACACAAACAAATACACAATCGGGTCATACATTAATCCGATGGCACAAAATGTCCAACAAATCGATCACGTGTTGAGACTGCAGGACATAGTCGGCCACATCCAAGTGCTGACCGCAGACCAGTTCGTAAAGTGCGGCCAACTTAGCGTTGGACCGGTCGGTGAGTGATGTGGGCCTCTCTCGGGTGCCGTTCATTATTCGGGACAACATTTGGTCAACAATTGGACGCCATTTAGCGAATGAAAGTACAGGGAATCGGCGGCACCGGTGCCACCACTAGACGGACGGCCACTGTTGATACGGAACAGTTTCTCCAACTCATTGAGATTACGTTCCAGACTGTGAGTCATGTTTGTCGGCCAGTGGCCAGTGATTTGGTTGTCGGCGCTCAGAGCTGACAAGTCCTG